TCTTGTCTAGGTGGTCACAGGCCACAGGGCAGGAGCAGTGTCTAATCTGCCCCCTAGTCTATGCCCAGAGCCCAGCACAGTGCGTGGCACATCAGTGATCATGAAAGAGTGAATGAATTTGTAAAGTGAAAGGGTGGATGAAGGGCCGCCCGGTCCCTTTCGCTTGTCATGTTAGTTTGGAATGGAGGGTGTGAGGCTGCCCTCTCACTGGTGCAGTGGAAGGAAGGTGTAGGACATGGATCAGGATCCGCAGTGGTCCCGAGCCCCCTGGGTGGGGAGGTTCTGTGTGCATATGAGCAGGTGAGAGTCAGGCATCCTCCAGGGGCAGGGTGCCTCCACCAGCTTTCACAAGCCTTCTGTAGAACTGGTCCCACTGGGCCGTGCGTCCTTTCCTGTGTTGGGGTGAAGGATACCCATACAAGCGTGGACGTTTGGCGAGCCACTTGAAAGGCTGTAGCATGCCCCGTGCGCCTGGAGCACATTCCACACCTAGAGCGGGGGTGCAGGAGCCTCCTGGCCCTGGGAGCTTCAGTGAGGTCAGCAGCCAGGCGCACCTGCGGGGGCCTCCATGAGAGCTGGGCATTAGGATTGCTCTACACACTTTCTGCCTTGCAAATTCAGACTTGAAATGAGACATTAATGGAGGATTAAATGGATATTTCTTTTATGAGCCTGTGATCGTGGTAAAAAGAGGCATGTCAAATGCTTGGTGAGAGCCATGAAGGATCCCCTAAAGAACGCGGAGGCAAACCAGACCTGACAGGGAAAAGCAGGCCTCAGAGAGACTGAAACTATAAATATGGCCCAGGGCCAGTGTTCTATCATGAAGGTGGTAAGCAGAGATTTCAGGAGGTTGCAGGGTGGGAGGAAATTTCTCGTTTTTATTAAGGAGTTGACAAGACTAGGATCATGGCTTGTCTTTGAGTTGTGTTAAGCAGTAAAATGAAGGGCTAGGCTGCAGGGCTGGGAGCAGGGTGACGGCAGGTACCAGATCGGTGTGCCTCTGCTGGAGGGAGTGACCGGGCCACAGACAGGGGACCCCGCTTGGCAGTCCTCACACCCCTCATCTGAGGTCCTCAGAAAGGCACTTGTGTCTCGAGACTTTCAGAGACCCATATCTTGTCAGGAGAATGCCAAGGCTCAGGTCAGAGGCTTGTTCAGTTTTTGAGAGTCTGTCTGGAGTACATACCCTGCCCTAACAAGTCAATATTTCCAGGAGGAATGTTTCTGTTCCTCCTGGACACCTGACATTCCGAAGCGTGGTACTTCGGGCTCTTGTAAATGCTGGAATTCCTAAGCGTCTCTCTGGAGGACAGGTAAGATGTCAGTGGGAACACACATACACACGGGCACATGCGTGTGTGTGCACACAGCTAGCACATCCATGCTGGAAACTGCCTTGGCTTGGACTGAGCAGGGCCTCCTCTCAGTGAGGTATTTCTTCCCTCACGAGGCAGCACCCGAGCCATCGGCACGTGTGGAAGAGTGTTCCAAGTGGGAGGTGTCTTCGCCTGCAAGCGCTAGTTTCAAAAGCAAGAAAGCATCATTCAGTTTTGAGTGGGCTATGAGTAAGTCACTGCAACTAAATACAGTGAATATCCTAAACCTGGGATAAGGAGTCTGTTAGATCAACTTGAAACCATTAAAATCATTTCAACCCTTGATTTACATACAGGGATTTGGCAAGTGGCTTTAAAATCAAAATTTAAAATAGCATGGGAAGCAGCAGATGGAGAGTATGAGCTGACACTCTACCCTATAGACTCGGGAGGCCCGCCCGCCCTTCCCGGACAACTGGCCAGTGAACGACTGGGTGAACGGAGGCCTTCTGCCAAGCTCATGCCTCCCTCACATGTAGTGAAAGCAGCCCATCTAGACATGGGCTTTGGTGCTAAACTTTCTGGCTTAGTGTGGAGTTGGATTTCTAGAAATCACATATTTAAAATCATGGGATTTACGAGCCCCATTGCAGATAAACATTGAAGTCATTAAAAAAATTGGCAAGTACCTAGGCTCGTATTTGGAGGTCATGAGAGGATTTTATAGATGTTTACTTTTACACCACAAACTCCAGCTGCCTCATTACCTCACTAAAGACAAAAAGATAACCAAAAAGAAATGGAAAGACTTTCAAGGTATTGTTTTCTCTAAAGGGTTTGGGACTTTCCAATTTTTTGGAGGTTTTTATAGTAGTGACTGATGCATCAGATACTATATTAGGTAAAGAATTATAGGAAAAGCACAAAAAATGTGAAACTCTCCAGTGAGACTTCTCTAGGAGACAACTGTTAGCTAAAAGAAGAAAAATTATCACCCCGATGAAAGGAATGTGGAGGGAGTCCTTGCTGGGACCCAGGACCAACTCTGGCCAGGAGGTTTGGGTCAGAAGCTGTGTGTCCTGCCCGTCCGCCCTGGCCTGCCCAGAGGCCCTGCTGGGTGGGAGCGGGGAGTGGGCCTGGCCACGTCACCTGCACCTCCACCAGGCCATTCAGCTGGTGACAGGAACCGGGAGGTTCCAGCAGACCCACTGGCACAAAAACTTACAGAGGGAGCCCCCGAGTGATAGTCTTGTTTAGTCATTGAAACTTCAAAGGGAGTGAAAAGTCTGTGGCAAAACACAATTTGCTTAAAATTGGAAGGGATTCTGTCATCTGGTAAGTTTCCTTGCATGATAAGGTTGGAATCAGGGAACACCAGAAGGCAGTCTTCTCCAGGGTTCCTTAGGTGTAACTGTGATAATAGGGAGGCTCCAGGCAGGCTGGCAGAGGATGAAAAGCTAGATTAAGATTCACCTGTGAGCCACTGCACACCGGTAGGGGAGGGCTGCACTAGCTCACCTGTGTGTTGGGGGGGAAGGGCTGCACTAGCTCACCTGTGTGTGTGGGGGGAGGGCTGCACTAGCTCACCTGTGTGTGTGTAGGGGGGAGCGCTGCACTAGCTCACCTGTGTGTGTCAGGGGGAGGGCTGCACTAGCTCACCTGTGTGTGTGGGGGAGGGCTGCACTAGCTCACCTGTGTGTGGGGGTGGAGGGCTGCACTAGCTCACCTGTGTGTGTCGGGGGGAGGGCTGCACTAGCTCACCTGTGTGTGGGGGGGAGGGCTGCACTAGCCCACCTGTGTGTGGGGGGGAGGGCTGCACTAGCCCACCTGTGTGTGGGGGTGGAGGGCTGCACTAGCTCACCTGTGTGTGTCGGGGGGAGGGCTGCACTAGCTCACCTGTGTGGGGAGAGGGCTGCACTAGCCCACCTGTGTGTGGGGGTGGAGGGCTGCACTAGCTCACCTGTGTGTGTCAGGGGGAGGGCTGCACTAGCTCACCTGTGTGTGGGGGGGAAGGGCTGCACTAGCTCACCTGTGTGTGTGTAGGGGGGAGCACTGCACTAGCTCACCTGTGTGTCGGGGGGGAGGGCTGCACTAACTCACCTGTGTGTGTCAGGGGGAGGGCTGCACTAGCTCACCTGTGTGTGTGTGGGGGTGGAGGGCTGCACTAGCTCACCTATGTGAAGGGGAGGGCTGCACTAGCTCACCTGTGTGTGGGGGGAGAGGGCTGCACTAGCTCACCTGTGTCGGGGAGAGGGCTGCACTAGCTCACCTGTGTGTGTGGGGAGGGGAGGGCTGCACTAGCTCACCTGTGTCGGGGAGAGGGCTGCACTAGCTCACCTGTGTGTGTGGGGAGGGGAGGGCTGCACTAGCTCACCTGTGTTGGGGGGTGGGCTGCAGTAGCTCACTTGTGTGTGTGTTTTGGGGCGAGCACTAGCTCACCTGTGTAGTGGTGAGGGCAGCACTGGCTCGCCTGTAGATGCAGACTGTATAGCTTACCTGTCAGGGGAGCGGAGGCCTGAGCTGAGGCTTGGCTGATCAGAAAGAGGAGACAAGAGGGTCACTCTGATTGCCGTCATCTCAAACATTTAATACTTTCACAATCTGAAAGAAAGAGCTAAGGCACTTGTCCAGTAGCCCAATCTCCAAGTCCGTCTTTGATCTGAATGTTGAGGTCAAGGATGAGAAATGCCTTTGGCCCCATCAGGATTGTCCAGCCAAGGCGCTCCCTCCATTCCTCACTGACTCACTTCAGGTTGTCTCCATCTCTGATGAAATGCTCAGTGGGGTCACCCCCTTGCCTGAATAGGTCCTGGGGAAAGCCTCTTCCCCGCATTCCTCCCCCTTACTGAGCATAAGTGTGTCTCATAGGGCGAAGGGGAGAGGAAGCGGATTTCTTCTGCAGACGCCCCACCGTTGAAATCACAAGTGATATCGGTGGTGCAGGCGGGGGTTTGGCACACTGCCCGATGCACCTGCCAGTCCCACTCCTCACACGGTTCTCCCTTTGATCACCACGATGGATGTCCCATGAGGGAACCACCATTTACGCCTTCTCCTTCCCCCTCCATGGCAGCCCACTCCTGCTCACCCGCCTGGGTTCCCCACAAGCATTTTCTCCAGGCACATGCTCCACATGCTCAGGCAGAAGGCAGAGCTGTTGCCCATGCTGGAGTTTCTCATGGGTGCCACAGGCCTGCTCCTGCCAGACTGACTTCATGTGGAATTGCGGATCCTGGGAATGTTCTGCTGAGGCTGGAGGCCCAGGGCTTTGCTTGGTCTCGGGCACTTAGTGGGCACTTTTTAAAGGCTCATTGACCAGAAGGCATACAGCACCAAGGGTGAACCCTGGTGTCAACTGTGGGCTCTGGTGATGGTGATGTGTGCAGGCTTGGCGATTGTAGCTAGCCTGCAGGTTGGTCGCAGGTGCAGGATGTCGATGGTGGGGATTTCAGGGTGGGGGAGGCAGGGGTGGATCAGAAATCTCTGGACCTTCCACTCGATTTTGCTGTGCACCGAAAACTGCTCTAAAAATCCAAGTCCATTGTTGAAAAAGGCTTATTGAATGTTTTGAGTGAATAGTTTCTAGAGTTGGAAGAATTCTCAACAGACATATTTTAATACGTATCATAGTTGGCAATGTTTTAGGTAACGTTTTGTTTGCCTTGTGTTTTATTGTCACAGGGTGTGAAGAAGTCTGACGTGCCGTGTGGCGGAAGAGATTGCAGTGGGGGCTGCCAGTGCTTTCCTGAGAAAGGCGGACGCGTAAGTCACAGCATTGCAATAAATAATATTGTCTTCCTCACACAGTCATGCCTCACTTAACGACGGGGTTGCCTTCTGAGACGTGTGTGGCTGGGCAGTTTCGTCACTGGGTGAACATACTAGAGGGTACTCGCACAAACCTGGGTGACGTGGCCTGCTACCCTCCCGGGCTGTGTGGTAGAGTGTCGCTTCTACGCCACAAACCTATATGTAGGCAATTGTAACACAGTAGTATTTGCAGTAGTATTTGCAGTAGTATTTGTGTATCAAGACATAGAAAAAGTAGAGTAAAAAGATTAAAAATAGGATTCCTGTACAGGGCCCTTACCATGAATGGAGCTTGCCAGATTGGAAGTGGCTCTGGCTGCGTCAGGGAGTGAGGCATGCGTGAATGTGAAGGCCTGGGACGCAGCTATGCACCACTGGGGACCGCACAGACACTGGGACTCAGGCTACCCTACACTTGTTTTTTGAATATTTTTATTTCTTCAGTAATAAATTAACCTAAGTTTACTGTAACTTTTTTACTTTGCAAACTTTGACTCTTTTTGTGATAACACTTAGCTTAAACCACATATGTACAGCCGTACAAACATATTTTCTTTTTCCATGTCCTTATTTGATGTTTTTTTCTATTAAATTTTTTTTTTAACTTTTTAAACTTTGTTATTAAAAACTAAGAAACAAACCTGCGAGCCTCGGCCTGCACAGGCTCAGATGGTCAGTGCCACAGTCTCCCATCTCCACGTCTCGTCCCACCACAAGGTCTTCAGGGCAGTAACATACATGGAGCCATCAGCTCCTCTGGGAACAAGGATTCTTCTGGATTCCTCCTGAAGCACCTGCCTGAGGCCGTTTTACAGTTAACATAACATATATGTGTGTGTGTGTATATATATATATATATATATATATATATATATATACACACACACACATATACACACACACATATATGGGAGTGCATTCCAAAATAATGATGAAACGCAGAGGATAGTAGATGCAGAAACCAGTGACGCACTTGCTTATCACCAAGTGTCATGTAGCTACATGTTCACACTTTAATGCCACCAGCAACACGGTAGGTCTGTCCACACCAGCACCGTCACGAACACATGAGTCATGCGTTGGGCAGCTCCACTGTCATCCTAGGGGACCACTGTCTTCGGTGCAGTCTGTTGTCGACCAGAAAGTCGTGATGTGGTGCCTGACTGTACCTCCGTTTGAAATGAGAGTGTCTTAAATTGCCTGATTAAATCATCGCATACTTGGCTAAGAAATTTAATACGATTGTATTCTCTTCCACTAGAACAGACAATAATACAATGCAAAACTGGGCCAATGTATGCCACTTTCCTACAGAATTGAGGGCAATTTTAATTTTGATAAACATCTTTTCCTGTGTTCATTGTCCACTGTAAGTACATATGTGTGTTTGTATGTGTGTATATGTACCTATATAAAGCAACGATGTTTCATACTTATACATAAGCACAAGTGTCATAAAAATATTCTGTAAAGAACAACATAGTTGCGTTTACACTGCAGTATAGGTATACAAACTAGAGGCACTGGTAATTGTATCATTGCTAACAATTCTCACTCTGAAATGACTCACTCCCTGAATGTCTTTTCTGTGGGCCGCCGCACAGATAAGTAAGAGGAAAAAAGGGCCCTTCAATTATCATCATTCCACCTGGTAGAATTTGACATATTGCCCTGGTATTGGATTTAACGTGTTCAATCAGCGTGATCGATCTCTGATTCTGTTGCCTTTAGAACCGATGTTTGAGTCTTGGTGTTATGTGATTTAGAAGTTACTATTTATAGGTGCACGTTGAAGCCCGCCTTGCCTGTGTGAAGGTGTGGGGAGCAGTATGTTGTTTTGTGACGCAGCCTCCTTGCCCGTATTCCCGCGACCCACGCGCTTACACCTGGCACACTCATGCCTGTCTACACCGCGTTTGGCAAATGCCGGGTTGTCAAGGCAACTGGAAACTCTTTCCTGCATTTCCCTGTTGCTGTTGGAATCAGAAATTATAACCGGCCTTAGGTGGCCAAATGAGTTTCCCCAGGTTGGACCCTGAAGTCAGTTTCCACCATAGCCGTTCCCAGCCCTACCTGCCAGAAAGAACAATCCTCTGCTGGAGCTTGGCCTCCGGGGCTGGGGTGCAAGGCCACTGCCTCCCTTCCTGTGTCCCCTCCACAAATCAAATGGGTACAGTTAGTGATAGGGAACCTCTTTATAAATGCTATCATCCTATTTTCTGACCTGTGACTGATCATTATTTCACTGTCAAAAATCACAGCTGAGGAGGCTTCCTACCCCTTTGATGAAAGCTCCCGTCTCTCCACCTGCTGCCTTCATCATTAGTTGCAATTCTCAAAACAGCTATTTTTGTTTTCGTTAAGCATTCCTCTGCCTGCAGTGGGGACTTTGTGGTTTACAAACTGCTGTTGAAGATCATTTATCAGCACTTAACAAGACTAAATAATTTTTAAGTTTATGGAAGCCATTTCATGAGACATGAAATTCCCCTGGGTCCCACGCTATAGATTTTCCCAACGATGCTTCTGCCACGGTGATGAAAATGCCTGACTGTAGACTCTGCGATCCCCAGCGCTCGACTGGCTCAGCCTTATATGGGTAGGGATAGAATGAGTGGTATACACGGACCTGCAAGCCAAGCTGTGTGGGATGGAGTTACTGTCCAGAGGGACCCTGCATTCTTCTGCATGTCATCAGACAAACAACCCAAACAGAGTAGAGGTGACTGGGTCTGTTCCTTCTCACTTTCTATGATTATTTAATGCAGAATCGACACAGTAACATTTTCTATAATGCCTTTGGGAGAATTTTATTATTCAGTAAGAATAGCTAATTCAGATGATTTCAATACATAATGGCACCTGCATAGCAGTGTACTGTTACGTGATGCCAGAGATCTTCTCAATGAGGTTATTAGGAGGGATTTCTGAGGATCCCCAAGACTCTGTGACTTAGTGAATTCACAGCACAGCCATTGAGACCTTTTCATTTCCCCGTGTCCCTAATGAAGGAAACACCTTGAGTCTGTTTCTACACTTTGCCAAGAAAATGAAAAATCAAGACCTTCTGGTTAATCTGATTAACATGAGTAATCCAAAACTCCATGTGGGCTTGGCTTTCCTCTAGTTATTCAGACGGGTTATCAACATTGATCCAATCAAGCTGTGATTGGCAGCTGTCTGAAGCGTTGTACAAAAGGCAGAGGCAAATGATCCCCACCCTGGGGCCTGCACTGTGCATGGGCAGGACTCAGGTGGCTGAAGCCTGGCTGTGTCTGTACCCCTAGGTACCGCATGGTGCTTGACACTGCCATTTCACCTGGGCAAGGCCCATGCTGCCAGGGGCAGCTGCTGGGGTGCGTTACAATCAGCACACAAGGCTGCCCTGTTAATTCAGGTGAGACCCTGAACATTTACCAATAAGGTGATAGAAATGGCTGATGATAAAAGGTAAGAAAGAGATCAATGATGCCGTTTACCATGTTCTACAGGGTGTGTTCCTGGAGATATTCTTCTGTATGTTACAGGAGACGTTTAGTCTCAGGACTATTGCATCTATTGTTTTACAGTATTTTTAAGATAGAGTATCTATTTCAGCACAACAAATCCAGTGCATGTGGCTTAACTATTTATTAGTTAACAGATGTTCCCAGATGTTCTTGCAGAAGCTCAGCTCTGTCTGCCCTACTTTTGGACTGATAGCGTTTTTTTAAAGTAAGGTAATACGTAAAAAATAGTAGCTAATGGTTGGGTGTGGTGGCTCACACCTGTAATCCCAGCACTTTGGGAGGCCGAGGTGGGCAGATGAGGCCAGGAGTTCAAGACCAGCCTGGCCCACATGGAGAAACCCCATCTCTACTAAAAATACAAAATTAGCCGGACATGGTAGCTCATGCTATGTCAGCCTCTCAGGAGGCTGAGGCAGGAGAATTGCTTGAACCCAGGAGATGGAGGTTGCGGTGAGCTGAGATCACACTATTGCACTCCAGCCTGGGCAACAGAGCAAAACTCTGTCTCAAGAAAAAAAAAAATAGCAGTTGGACAGAGCCCGCTGTGGCAAGGGCTGTGTGCAGGGTTTGTTCTTTCCCACAGCTTCCCCTGGGGTGGCTCCCGTCTCTTTTCCCTGTGGTGCTGCCGCTGCAGCCCTGGAAATGCCTGGCTGCAGACTCGCCACGCCCCCGCACTTGGGAGCTCAGCCTTATACGGGCATGGTACCCCCGTTCATCTGTGCATCACCATGGTGACAGCCAACACCGGAAGTTGTACGTCACTGGATAACTTTTGGACACTAAGCAGAAATCACAAGCATACTATGGATTCCATTTCCAAGTGGATTCTCATGTTACCAGTGAATGAGCTTTGGGTCAAATTTGTGGAACTTGGTTCTGCGTCCTTGGGCAGTGAGCGGGGGGACTCTCCTAGCAGGGAGAGAATTGCTTCTCCCAGACAGAGCCACTCAGTCCTATAGATAATTCCACAAGCCACAGAGATGAGGAATGCAGAGGCATGGCAGGAGCTGTGGCCCGGCTGCTGGGCACGGCCCACTTCCCCTCCCCGGGCAGAGCTGGGAGGAGCTGAGCCAGGAGCCAGCCCATGTCCTGTAGTGCACATCGGAGGACACTGACTTCAGGAAGGAAATAGCCCCTGTGAATCTCACACCCAGATTGTGGCAGAGCCCAAAACTAATCTCAAGTCTGGGAATGTAGACAAATTCTTTTTCCAGCATAATCATCTTTCGTGTCCACACTCCTCTTCCCGTACGTCAGCCTAGAACAGTGAGGCTCTCCGGGGAGGAACATGGGCAGCGTGAGAAGAAAGCGTCCTCTCGTTGTGCAGGAGTTATGGTTCCCTATTCACTTTTTAACCACCTCTTCAGTTGTTTTTGTAAATTAAAAAATCACTTTAACAAATGATTTAGGACTTTCTTGTTATTTGAGGGTCTGTGTTCAAAT